GTCCATTGCAGCCAAGCTGGATGAGAGCACGGGCCAGAGCAGTTCTCCAGCAGCCGTATCTACGGGAGCTGCCGAGGTAATGCCTTTGGATACTGAGTTGCCAACAGCGGATGAGTGCACCGGATTGATTCAGCTTCTCGAAAGCTCAAGCTGGTACCAAGGTCTGGGCACCCGAGAGATCATGCACCTCTTTGTGCTTGGTCTCCGTGAGCACCCAACAAGCCAGGGATGGGTGGGTTGCAAACATTGCAAGAACGCTAGCCGAAAACCGATTCATTTCTCAAACGTGGAAAGTCTGCGCAAGCATTTTGAAGAGAAACACCTGCAGGAGCCAGCTACTGCGAGCCATGAAGAGGAACAGCATACACGGCCAACTGCGAACAACGATGAAGCAGTGGGCAATGAGTTGCGTGGCGTTTGGGCCGACGCAGAACCTGACTGGGCCAAAGCTGATATCAAAGATCGGCTAGCCGCAGCAAGCAAGCCTGCGCCAGCAGTTCCGATGGCTGATTTGCTTTTGAGTGAGCTTCGGCAAGCCGAAGGACATGTTGGCCGCTTCATTCAAAGAGTTGTCCAGGTATTGCAAGCTCGCGATGCTGGGCACGGCCAAGCATTACAGACCGCCTTCCAGCAGCTGGGCATTGTCCCTGACATTCTGTGCCCATCATTTTGGCGCACAAAGACCAAGAAGCACCTGACTTGGTCGGGCTTGACCCAAGTAGAAGTGTTAGGGGACGGGAAAATCAAGCTGTGGTCTTGGGATTCAGAACGCTGGGCTTGGGTTGAGGCAACTGTTCAGGATACAGCCATCACAGGCGCTATGATGAGTCTCTTCATTGATGGCATGACGGAAGTGGCAGAGAACTGCTCATTGGATCTGCCCAAAAGACAAGCAGCAAGCCTTAGCACTGCCGTTCTCTTCAACGAAGCTTGCCTAAAGCATTCCCAACAGCAACGGCTTTTGGTGCAAAAGGATGGCTTCAGCCTCAAATATGAGCATACTCCTGGAAGAGCCGACTTCAAGTACACCTCACGTAAGAGGAATCTCACCAACACTCAGGCCCAGACCAACATGCTCCAGGGTCGGCGCAAACGCGAGGAATATGCTGATTAGGGCGAGGAATCTGCTCATATGCCAGCTTAGGAAATTATGTGGTGATTTTTCCTATCTGCGATGCGTATGTTTGTTTTGTTTAACAATCAGGTCGCAGCTGATCGAGCATACAGTTGAAGCAGGGTTCACATCATAGGCTGATGATCCATGAGAGCTGGGACCCACTTCTACTAGTTGTGAGCAGATGCCGGGCACGTCCCATCTCAAAGCAGATGCAGGGCGCGGCCAACTCTTCAAAAAGGTGCACACGAGAATGATATGAGACCCAAAAATTACAGCCCCTTTTCGTCGGCACCATTCCGACTTTATTTGTCGGGTCGTTTTATTTTTCTTGTCTGGGCCGGAGATTACGAAAAATTTGTCGGCCCTACAACCCCGCCTCGTCGTTTGCTCTTTGTTTGACTCTGAAGCACCTTGAGCTTGAGCTCCTGCTCCAGGTTTCCAATTACCTCCGCTCAGAGTATGCTGCAGCGCAGGAAACTTTCAACGAGCTGTGTGGACCTCATCAGCTGCCTAGCATCAAGTTGTCATATCCTAGGACATCAAGTGACTTTTTCTAGACATCAAGTGAGATCAAACTCTGGGAACCTGGGAAATCATGTTCCATAGAGGCGGACACACCTGCGAGCTTCGAGAACCGCCTCTCCATTGACTTCACCAGTAACAAGGCCGGTGACACTGGCGAATTTCCCTTCAACGAATGACCAGCAGTATGTCTGAACTCTGTGCTTGTCACTGTTGAAAGAACAGAATTGCTTTTAGGCAAGGCTCCATCGCTTATCCTTCATGACAGGTTCTGCCCATGAAGCTATCGGGTGTTGGATCTGTTGAGCAAAGCATTATCTTCCGCAGCAGCCAGGGACTTAATATGACTTGATGTGCTCTTTTTCTTCGCAAGAGGGTTGGTGTTGCGACTCTCTTTGTCTTTGCTCGTCCTTTTTGATCTTTTGTTGTGCCTGTACACTGTCATCCCTGGAGCACCAGGTTTCTACTCAATGCTCTACACTTGTGGCCCTTGTCCAAAAGTCCACCCACCAACCACCACACCACCACCACCATCATCCTCGTCCTCATCGTCATCCTCACCCTCATCGTCATCGTCATCGTCATTGACGTCATCATTGTCATCATTGTCGTCGCCACATCATCATCGTCCTCATCGTTTTCCACCACCACCACCACCGCCGCCACCATCACCATCACCGCCACCATCCCATCACCACCACCACCACCACCAGCATCATCATCATCATCATCATCAAAATCATCATCATCATCAGCATCATTTTATTCGTTTCACGTGTTTTTCACGGTGATGTCCACCTTTCCCTCAGGTGGAGAGGCTTCGTTGCAGGCCGCTGATTCCATTCTGCTGGCATTTGGTGCTGGACAAGCAGTGCCCAATTTGCAAGACAGCAATTGACATCATGGTTTGATGCCCAGAAACTCAAGAAGGTAATAGTATGGAAGATTTTTGAAGTTACGTTGAAGAATAAACATAATAATGACAATACATATATATATTTATATAATGATATATATGTATATATAATCATATATGTGTATATGAAGCATTAGATGCCACATATATAATTGATATTGATATGGATGGATGTGTTGCATTGTTTCCCAGGAACAGGTGGAGCGTGATGGAGCACAATCCCGGGTCGGGCTTCCATCACTCTGTCGTAGCGTCTGAGCAAGCCTTGGCAGCCATTAGTATATAATATTAGTTATCCATGTAACTTATCCCCATGGATCCCATGATATACCATGATATACCATGATATACCCATGATATACCCATGATACCAATTATCCGATTACCCCCATGGATCCTATGAGATCCCTTTGGAATCTGGTCATTCCAAAGCTGACGCTTCCTATCGCGATTGTACAAAGCTAAGCCTACGCTGCAGCCAGGTGGAGATCCTAGCTTGAGCTGAAGCTGAAGCTCAATGGATTGGTTTGGGAAAGACATACGTGGATAAATGGATAGTGGGGATCACATATCCCTCATCTCGTGTGTATATCTTGTTCTTCTAAACATCAGCTGTGGAAATTGTCATTATGAATAAATATCAACTGAGCAAGCAATGTCAAAGATAGTGCGAATCTCAAGGCCTATAGGAGGGTTCACTCGTGTTGAGGTTCTTCACAGACATCACAAGGGACACCACAAGCACAAGCACAGAGGACACGGACCGAGTCTGCGGTGCTTGTGCTTGTGGTGTCCCTTGTGATGTCTGCCTGTGGTGCTAGCACTGGCAACTCCAGCAGCAGTGGTCGGTGGTCAGGTCTTCAGGGGTTTGACCGGTGTGGTAAGATAAAGTAACCATACAACCATGTGACCTGGTTTCCAAACAAAACCTGATGGTGCCTAGTTTCCAAAACTTCCATGACCTGGACAGCGTTGCTGCAAGGTTTCGTACTATGATTCTGAACTGCGAAGTGGCTGGAAATTCGCCCGCTCACAGCCACGAGAATTCAGTCTTTTCCACCAATGAATCAGACCAAAAAACATGATTACAAAAAAACTATATACTTGCACATGGTGATACAGGAGAAAGAGGTAACAACTTGGCAAGGACTCAACCATTCCAGTTATTTGCGACCAGGTGTGCTTCTTCAAAACCATGTTTCACCTTTTCAATGATAAGTCATTGGTGGATAGGTTGAAGGAAATGATTCAGTTGGCAAAATCGCCTCCGCCCTCAGTACTCACGGAGGAATGGGGTATCCGGCTAGCCAAAAAGTGCCAAAGCATCAAGAAGAAATGCTTCTGGAATGGTTTTGCTCAGGCTCTTGTGGATAGTGACTGTTTTTTGGCATAAGTGATAATTTTGCAGACCTGCGCCTCTGCAATTGCCTGTAAGACATTAGACGGAACCGATTGCTGTGGTCATTGACTCATCATCATGATAATCATGATAATCATGAAAATAATAATCATCATCATCATCATCAAACCCGCACAAACCAGCGCGAACCCGGGCGAAACCGCACGAACCCGGGCGAACGCGCGCAAACCCGCACAAACCCGCGCAAACCCGCGCGAACCCGCGCGAACCCGCGCAAACCCGCGCAAATCCGCGCGAACCAACGCGAACCCGCGCGAACCCGCGCAAACCCGCGCAAACCCGCGCAAACCCGCGCAAACCCGCGCGAACCCGCGCAGTCAAATTCGGACACGATCCCCGCTACACTGCATAGATGAACAGAGACATTCTATGAAATTCTATGTGTCTTAGTTAATCCCTTCCCCCTAGTACTAACCCCCCCAAATCATAAAAACTAGGGTCCATCTCTAATTTTGGAAAATTTCAGGTTGGCCAATTTGACTTTTATATAATTGATCCCCTTTTTGAAAACAATTGAAAAATAAAGCTACCATTTGTGGGTTTCGCACCCTAATGATAAAAACTAGTCAACCCCGGGGTGTTTATTATTAGGGTCCGTGAAAATTTTAGTTTTTTTATCAAGGGTTTCAATTTATTAATAGGGTCCGCTTCGAAATCCAATTTTTGGGCAATATTTTAATTGCGTTATATAAGAAATTTAACTGATTTTGAAATCGAAACAAATAGTTTTTTTAATTAAGGGTTTCAATTTATTAATAGGGTCTGCTTCGAAATCCAATTTTTGGAAAAAAAATTAATTGCGTTATAACAGGAAATTCAATTGATTTTGAAATCGTTTTTTTTTTAAATCAAGGGTTTCAATTTATTATTAGGGTTCCCTAATAACAAATACTCCTTGATAATAAAAACTACCTGAGGTGTTTATTATTTGGGGGGGACGTTTAGTATTAGGGGGACAGGATTATACAGTTCATTACAGTTCTACCTGTCTTATACACCCAAGTTTTGTATGGATGGGTGAGGCAATGCTGACCGATTTGGACTGGCTGGGGCCGAACATGAACGATAAGAAGTATGATGATCCAGAGGCCGATGGTGGGATGAACCTCTCCTGTTTCATGGTGGCGAAATCCCACTGCCTTGGTGTTTAGAGCCCCACTTCCTGCCATAGTGATAGTGATTGGATGTGATTGGATGTGATTGGATCCAAAATCAATGATGGTTAATTCCACATGGTGGTTACATAAAACCATAGTATAATATGTTTTATGGTGGTTGTGGTTGCGGTGCCTTGCCATTCTTGGTGGTGTAACCAAGTTTTGGTCCAATCCCCATTAAATGATGGTGAAATGCAACTTGAATGCTGGTTTAGCCCTCATGTTTCCTGGTAAAAATCTCCATAATTTCACTGCTTCACCCCAAACTCGGCATAACTCAGCTGACGTTTTCACACCGCGGAATATACTTTTTTCATCTTTTTTCCTGGTGGTTCTGATTAAATCCCCATATTTTGTCCCATTCCCAAGTGGTTCATCTGTGAAGTGGAGGTGCCCGCGGAGAAGGGTTACGTGTGGTTCACCGTGGAGGAAACCATCACTTCGCCAACCACTTCGCCCTATGCTATCGGAAAAGCAGCAGCTGAGATGTTGAGCTTCAGACTGGGTGGGAAATGGTCTGAAGATCTTTGATCTGTTGATGGTGTAATTTGTGTAGTTGATGCAGTTGAATAAAAGTTCAGTTGCTGAAAGTTGCTTCAGATCATTATAGCTGATTCAGTTGATTATGGTTGGTTCATGTTGGTTCTGTTGATTCTCCAAAAACGAAATCATGGATTTTGGGATTGAGGGGGAATGGTATTGGTTCAAAGTGATTGACTGCAAAAATTACATGGTGCTGTGCTAGACATGTTCAAACATGTGCGTCTATTGGTACCCATTTCAGTCTGTGAAGGAGGGAACACCACCATATATGACACTTTCACTGTGGAAACAGGAAAACGACAAGAAAACACTGGATGGAATGGGGCGCCCCATTTTGGACGAAGTTAAATGAGTGAGCAGGATGCAGCAGGTCTGACATTTTCTCTTGATGCATCCCATCCAGTGGCTCCTTGAAGGATCCAGTTGTAGCTCGGTATATCTTGCCTCCACCAAGGTGAAAATCAAGTTGTTGGACGAAGGCATTGTTCCGGCATGGCTGGATTTGCACTACTTGCAGGTCTTCGCAGGTGCCTTGGTGGGGTCTCTGGTCAGCTGGAATCTGTATGAAGTAACAGGTGGCCACACTCAACCCCATGGATTTAATGGAGCCATCAGCAAGTCAGTTGAATCAGTTCATATGGGTCAAAGCTTGCCAAGCCAATTCCACTTGAGTTACACATCCTTAGTGGCACCTGAGAATCTGCAGGTGGAGTTCCACTTGGCTACATGAGTGAAGCTCACGTAGATCTTGAGGCGGAGGGTGCAGAGGAGACACTGCAGTGCTCCCATCTTCCAGGCAAACTAGGCATAGAATTGGTATTGGTGGTATAAGTTTGCCTAGTGATGGTTGGCACACCACATTGGTATGGGTCCAGTGGAGGGATACCCCAACTTGCAGCGTTTTCCCCAACTATGGTGGAGCATTCCAGTGGATTTCGGGGTCACCTGTTTTTACGCACGAAAAGCCCCTGCAAAACGACCCTGTGTGAGAGGATGGTGCGCTTGCAATGGGTGGCGGCAGCAGCAGTTGTGGCAAGGCCGGTGTATGTCAGAACTTACTTTGTGTTGGGATGCGTTTGTATCTACTGTAGCTTTCTTGGCATCAATATAGCAGTGTGAAAGCTGATGATGCAGAGAGTGTAGGAGGATATCCTGGAACAAAATGGGGAGTGCCAAAAGCAATCGTGTTTCATCAGGTGCAAGTCTTGCGAACTGCGTCCCACCGCCGTGTGGTGGTGGAAAACAGCTGCAGCCGCCTGGTCTTCAAGGAGTAAATCCATGTTGATTTGTTGCAGTTGTAGCCGGGGGTTACAACACCAGGTTCATTGGGCTTATAAGACGCGAAAAAACCCATTAATGGGAAGCCTGTTCTCAACTAATCAGTGGTTTTGACAGGAGAGGATCTTGAGAATTGCTCACCAGAGCAGCCTTAAAGAAGCTGAATTATACCTGTTTGTTGATACAGTATATTGAATTATTATATATGAATTAGTTATGAATTATATATATATATATATGAATTATGATTTATCATGATGTATCACTATGTTCACTATGGCACTATGGACATTATAAATTATATGATATTATTGTCACAAGCTGCGGGATTTGCCATGGAGGACCCCCTGGATTCTAAGAGCAATGACCTGGTTGATATGGGTCCAGAGCTCAGCTGCGTCGTTTCGGCGTATCGTTTGGCTTTGAACCAAATCATGTCATGGGCACGATAGAATCCATGTGATATCCATATGATATATATATATTATATCTATCTATCTATCTATCTATCTATCTATCTATCTATCTATCTATCTATCTATCTATCTATATATATATACATATGTATACACATATAGTTGATGATAGTTGATGGATGGTTTTGGTGGATGTGATTGGAGGTGGAGGCCCTAGAGGCTAGTTGACAGAGGGGAGGTATCCATTTTGAGAAGCACCATTGATGTCCTATGGGCTGTCATAAGCCTGAACTTAAATAGTCAGCAAGCGCACGCCCTCACGACCCTGCAACTACTCAGAATGTGGATGTCTTTGGTCGCCAGAAGTTTGGGAGAGATATTTTGCAGCTGAGGTTGGGCAATCTTTGATTGTTGCTACAGAGGCAACTGGTGAAAATCAGGGAGAGTCGCATGCGCCGCACACGGGCATGTTGGTAGGATTCTGTGGATCATACAAGAGTCAGATTGTGCTATGGTTTTCATGAGTGCACTGACATGAAAATATTGAGCAATCAATTCAAGCCAACCAATGCCCTTTTTATGCCTTTGTTGAAATCGCCCTGTCAATGGCATGGCTGGGAAGTCTACGGGGTTCAGAAGTCTAAAAACATGGACACTGCGCACGTGGCTCCCTTGCAGGTGCAACAATTCGACTTGGGCAGCATGCAGGTAGCGCGGCCGGTGGTGACTTTGTATTGGTTCCTCCAGGGTCCGATACATCGATGCTTCCAGTATGGTGGAAATTGGTGGAATACATCTTGATTTGGCCATGCCATGTACTGAGCAAAGATGGCCTTTCCTTTGTTGCAATAGATTCAGCATGGTTTTGATGGCCTAAGATTTAAGAAGCAGATCCTCTGAGAAGAAAAAAGGCGTCGATTTGTCTCCCCAGGCTGAGTGACATGCTTGATTTATCTTGATTTCATGCTCGCTATCTTCTAGGAGAGCAACGTGACAGTTCTTGGAACATTAGTGTGGACATGGGACTATGATGGATCATGACAGTGTCAAGACATGTTGAGACCACTGAGTCTTAAGAGCGGTTGTTTCACCGAGTTTCACCATCCAACAGAGTAAACATCGCAGGGAAGTGGTCAGAAGAACCAGCTGGCGACCACGGCATGGTCGATTTCAAGGCGAGCTCTGGGAGATGACCAGTGTCACCTGACATGACCTGATTGGTCTGATATACTTTAGCTATCTTTAGCTATTATGTAATGTTATGATCATGTAATTAAGATTATATAATTGTAACTTGTAACAACGTTTTTTTTTGTATTCTCTTGCTCCTGAATGATCTCTGTGGGAAACTAAACCCATCCTATTCAAGGATGCATTGGTTTTTTTTGCATTGATGTTTCTCGAACTTTTGAAATCCTTACATGCACAGCATTATCCCCCATATCTAATTGCAAGGTGACAGAGCGTCTTTGCAAAGCGCGATGTGTTTCGTAGAAACTTGCAGACTTGCAGCTCATTTCTTTTAAGTTTAGGAACCAATAAATGTAACTGCGTAGCCTGACTGTAAACCCACCAGAAGGGGAAGCAGCTGAATTCACAGGCTGCAGGTCCGCCACCTCTTTGCCATGGCGAGTATAAGGACAGATCCAAACTGGAGAGCGGACATGTAGCCATTTTATGCAATTTTGATGAATTCTCACATAGGAAAATCAGGAAAATCTTATGTATTCTGCGATTTTCTTTCGGCATTGTGTTTGCACCATTTCCAACCGGAGGACAAAGTGACTATTCAGGCACCAAGGTCTGATCATTTGTTTGAGCGCCGGCTGGTGAAGTAAGCTGCTGGATGCAAGCTGAGCCAGTACCAACGGGGCAATGTGACGAAGCATGGTGTGGATGGGTAGTGTGCACAGGCAAAGAATCTATTTGGAGTTCAACACTTGTAATGGCTTCTCTTTTGCCTTTACATGAAGTCGCTGCAGCGTAGTTGCAATCTTCCATTGAAATTGGCCCAAGCTGTCCTTGTATCATGATTTAGTTCCTGAAACTCAACCTGAGCACTGCTAGAATTTGAATTCTTGTAGACTGTAATGGGGACCCCTAAATCTAGGCCGCCCACTTTTTGGATACTCCACATAGCAAGGACAGCCAAAAAAACAACCGTCTGTGCGGCTAATAGCTCTTGGCTTTCAGCATCTCAAAAGAGCAGAGGAACGGACCAAAGATTATATACTTGTTTGAAGCAAGCCTGAAATTGGACGGTATCTGCCTGATGTGGTTTTGTCCTGCTTCCATCTTTGTTTCAGGGAAGTCACCTTTTTTTTTGTGTCCTTGAAGAAGCAGGAGCTTGGGTTTGAAGCTGAAAGCCAGCCCAAAGTTGGAGCTATCGAACTGCCAAAGTCGGCTCTGCGGCCAAAACAGGAACTGAGACACACCAGCTCCGCCAAGTTGTCCTCCCCATGTTCGGTCGATCTTGTTGACTTTTATAATTTTACAGGATTTTACTGTAAATTGCGCCATGAGGCCGTTCCAGCGACCTTTCGAGAGGCTTTGGAATGAACTGCAAGGGTTTTAAGTTTTAAGACATTTTTTTACATGTCTTCGAGGAAACTCCACTGCCTTCAGTTTGGCTCAGGGAAGAAAGGGCAGTCTGAGGTATCTGCACATGGTTACTAGCCCTCCCCTTTGGTGCTGAAACCGCACCATTTATCTTGGCGAGTTTGCATCTTCCCTCCTTTCCACCTAAAGCACATTTGCAGGTGTAAAGCTTCAGCGCCCCCCTTGAAGCAGCTGGATCATCAGATTTCAGCGGAATACACATATAAAACAATATACATACATAATGTATATACATTTTTTTATTAAGCATATATGTACAAAGGTATATATATATATATACACATACATATACATATTATAGCAAACCATGAGACATCCTCACTTTTGTGAGACATATTCTGTACATTTTCCAAATCTTCCCCAGCCGTTCATCATAGACCTCTCTTCTTGCTGCACGAACCGGGGAAGTGAACCAAGAAACGGCGCCATGACGGAGACCAACGGCACCACAGAAGCGGTGGCTCCAGGTGCCATGGAAGTCATATGAAGTCATAGTAGTATGATACCTTCAGGATATTATGATTGTGATCAATGAAGGTATGTTCAGTACAAGATCACTTCATGACTTGACAAAGCAAGAAACCTCGTCCTTGCGTGGTACTGGCCCCAAGTATCCCTGGTCAACAAGTCATATAGATTTTCTTTTTAAATATACACTTTTGAGTTCCCTCCTCATGCTGTCCACTTTTTGACGGGAGGACTACCCTCTTCAGCAAGCTGACCCGTGGAACCCGAGCGAAATTGGGTTTATTTTATGGGTTTGTCCAACAGAATAGGGTACTGCATATCCAGTATTTTTTTCGATAATCATTTTACTTTCAAAAATGGCCACAAACTAGGGTATTCCGGTATCCTTCATTTTTGCAAAAAACCTTTAATTACCAGAGAATACTATCCGGTTGTCGAGAAAAGTAGGTGTCGCAAAGACGTCTGCAGATGACATGTTGGCGCAGATGGTGCTGAGCTGAGTGGGGGCCAGTGAGCCTCACATGGTACTTGTGGGGAACCATTAAACCAGGCCTGAATTTTTGTTGGATCAGGATCAGATTTGAGATTCCTTCTCAACATTGAGTCACGAGCCCACATCAACAGGGTCCTAGTCCTTGCTTTGGATGGTTTCGACAATTCCACTATGGAGCGGTGCATGATGTGAGAGAATGAATTGAGTCACATCCCCTAGCAACTGCGTGGTTCTTGCCTTTCCTCGGCTTGAATTGAATGGATTCAGCTCATGGCACCTTTGGCTTCTTCAGCCTGCAAGAACTTCAATGTTCTCGTAGAAGGGTAGCTACGGATAGCTACGGTAGAACGCCTTGAGCTGATTTCAATTCCGAAATGCAGACTTCCACAGCAAGGCGGGCAAGCCTGATGAAGCAGCTGATGTTGCCGCAGCTGATGCAGGCCAGCACATTCTTCAGTTGATCATTCGCATCATTCTCCCAAAGCTGGAGAAAAATGGGAAAAACTGGACAAACATGGTTCAATACCTAGAAGTACAATTGTTTAGTGAACCGGCTGTTTGGATCTATTTGGGGGATCACCAGGGCCAGGATTTTGACTTAGCAATTTTTTAATAATTCCATCACCAACAGATACCACAGACAGAAATTTCGGCAGGGCTTGGATGTTGAACTCACATCAGGCGGCATCACACTAACAAACGAGGAATCTTAAACAATCTAAAGGTGGAACCGATGGTCGGACTGGCTACACGGAGAAAATACTTTGGAAGGACCCACCATTGGATCAGACTGATATAGATTCATATAGATTGATCATGATTGATCTAACCCTTGGATCTCACACTTTTTTCATCTTTCGTTCAGTCTCAGGCACTGAGAAGGCCGCTGAAAAGCCAGCGGAGAAGCCCGCGATGTCGGAGGCATTGATGGTCATCGACTCGGATTCCGACAATGAGAAGAGCAAGGCCCTCCGCAGCGCAGCTGCCTTAGGATCCAATGGCTTCAGTCTGTGGAAAGACAAGATATGACGAGACTGCTTAGCTCAATCTGATTTCGACATTTCGACATTTTCGCAGGCACAGGGGCCACAAGGGCCACCAAAGGTGCCAACGCCTCCTCCGGTGAAGCCAACCATTCCAGTGACTGCGGCTCCACAGGCTCCACAGGCAGACTGGAAATTAGTGTCGCAGCACCATGTTCATCATGTTCTACAGAACCAGCAGTATCCTGTGTGGAAGCTATTAATACATATAATTAATACATATTAATACGATACAGTACAGTAGTTGAGGTCTGTTATTTCTTTCGCTCTTCTGCCTTTCTGGATCTGTTTGGGGTCAGTCATTGGTTTTGAACCTCATGATGTTTGAGTTTGGCTAGTCGTGTCAGCATTTTGCAGCCCCGTCAGGAGGCGAATCCTTGTTTTTCAATTTGCAGGAACCTGACAATACTTTCAGCGACAGCAGCTTTGCGAGTGCACCACTTGATTCTCAGAGGCGACAGAAAAGCCCAAGAAGGACAAAAAGGAAAAGAAAAAGAAGGAAAAGCCCAAGAGTTCCTCCTCGTCGACCCTGTCTTAGTCGGATCTTCGAACCACGTCAAGCTTCACAGTCTTGTATAGTCAGGCATTCATGCATGATCTCAATTGAAGTCTTGGAAGAACCCATGGTTGCCTGTCTTTCACGTGCTTTGGATCTTGGATAAGACGGACACCGCAGGCTGGTTACAGTGTTGTGAGTTGCCTTGATGGCTCAGGGGCAGCGATAGCGACGACTCAGACAATCCAAAGAAGAAGAAAAGGAGCGTCCATTGTCACAGTAAACATAACCTTGATCACTTGGACCCTCCAATAGAAAGAAGCATAGGGCCAAGCTGGACAAGAGTTGTTTGGAATCGGAAATCATCAGACTTACACCACAACCTTGATGCGTGTGACACACGCATGGCCGCACAGGGCTTGTGGCTTGGTTGACATTTGGACACCAAGTGCCAAGACCTTTGCACCTACAAACGCCCAGACCTGTGCACCCAAAAAACACCTTTCAGCTCGAGGGGAATTGGAAGCCCCTTTGAAACTTTGCAACACACTTTCAAGATGTTTTCAGTTGGTCAGCCGGCAGGATAAACAATTTCAGCTCATTGAGAAACATCGAGAAGGAAAGGGTGTTGCTGTCATGTTTGGCCGCTGATGTGATCTTTTTTCAGTTCCTGCGCTTTGGCAAAGCCAGGCTGATGTGCGGAAGCACCGAAATGCGGGTGCAGAAGCGGCACAGAACATGCTGAAGGTTGGAACTTGGTGGGCCCTGTGGACGTATACATTGATGAAATAAAATGGAGGTTTGAGAGGGGGAACATTAGCTACACCACCTACGACATGCTTACAGTGAAGTATCAAGCATCACTGTGGTTCTGGGATTTAAGCTTCAGCACCGAGGCTCTCAGTGACAATCCTTACTTTGCACCATAGAGGAGCTCCGCAGCTCGTGACGTTGTGCACCATGCACCATGGCCACTGCGGTTGCCATGACAATATGGTCAAGTCAAGATCTTGATTCCCATTGGCACATAAATATGGGCAGTTTGAGATAGTTATATATATTATTTAAGGGCTGACGCCCCTCGTCGGCTCCGCCAGATTTCTCGACCCTCCATTTCATCGCAGTGTGGGCTTGAAAGCTTTTGGATGGGGACCTGCTTCAGAAATATAGTCCTTATGTTTTTTGAAAAAAGTTCATCGAATAGGAACTTTGTTGGAAATAGACGGCTTTTTTGGGGAGCAAGTGAGTTCCCGAAAGCTCCTGCCAAGGGCTTTTCCCGAAGAACTGCTGCCAATTTCA